CCTCCTGTTTTAGTCTATTATCTGTTTTAATTTTAGTATGTTTTTCCATTAGACTTGGAAGCAAAAATGTCTCAATGTATTTTAAGTTCTTATCACATACCAGCTGTTCATATTTTCCTTTGAGAAAAACTCATCTCTCATTCATGCTCCACTTTCAGAACTTCAGTACTTCTTCAGCACACCTCTGCTTGAATGATTCACAATTAGTTAAAATTTAACATGTTAAAAACTTTGTCATTGTATTCAACTAATGATCATAACCTTAAAAACTGATAAAAATTTTGTAATGTTTATCGGTCAGAGAGCCAGCATGTGTGTTGATCCTCTTTTTAACCTTTGGGCACCCATATTTTCAGTTACCTCCTTTTCTTTCTTTTTTTTGTTACCTCCTTTTCAAAGCCTTGTGTTTGGATTTCTGCAAATTTCACTTACCAATTTTCTGTCACTTTATTTCCCTTTTGAATACATTCTACATACTGACATGAGAAAAAAGATAAATTATCTTCATCCTTTAATTCTATTCATCTAATACCTTAGTAGTTTAAGGTCTTCTATATTGTACAACAAACTTTTATCCAACATTATATCTGGCTTCTTCCCAGTTTCTTTAATTGGTAGACTGTTATCTCTAAGAGCTTCCCAAAATTCTATATATGCTAATCTCAAACACATATCTTTAATTTATTTACTTTTTTAACTTATTCAAATCCTTTACATTTACCAAGAACCAAAAGAATTCTACCCTCCTCATTGGACCTTTTTTCATTGAAGAAGTTACTATGAAGTACCTTTTCCCATTTTCTAGACTATTTATTGCAGGACTTTTGCCTGCACTATTTATCTTTTCTTAACTATGTTTTGTCTTATGTTGTTGTTGCTTAGTTAATTCCTGTTTGGTAATTTCTTCTCTTCAATTATATTTTAAACTCCTGGAGAATTGAGACCATATATTACATTTCTTGTTCAGTGACCAATGTTTGCTTTAAAATGAGAGAAATGAAGTAAAATAAAAAAAACATGTTTTGTAGTTCTCATTTTTATTCTCATAAGAAATAATATTTTGAAGCAAAACAATTTCTTTCTTTAACTCAGGAAACAGTAAAAACAAGCTTAAAAATTTAAACATAGAAACAGTATAGACCAGAAAGGTGAAGGTGGGAGACTTCCTAGTTACTGTTCAACTGACTTTTCAGTATAGCTTTTAATGTTTTTTCAATTGCTATGAACACTTAAGCCAGGTATATTCAAATTTAAGAACAAAAATCATTCCAACAACAAATAGAAAAATTGTAGGATTATCTATATATGCTGCTCTTCCACACCACTAACAGATAATAAAAAGTCAGCTGTAATTGTTTTGAGATTTTCAAAATATTTTATCAGTAATTCCCAATAGGCACAGACTGGAACACAAGCAGACTATGAAATCTATGGTCTTTTTCAACCTTAAGGCTCATGAAAGAGTCTCATTTTCCCTTGCGAAAAATGATTACACCTCGAGGCTCCTTCTAGGCCTTTCTGGTTTGGTTTTGGTGCTTATTTGGCCTTGTTGACATAGAAAACCAACTTATGTATAAATATTACTTGGAAAAGAGGTGTAAATCAGGAAAGCAATCACATACTCGCCATTAGAAATTTTCTTTCTCTTAGATCAAATAGTTTATTATTCAACTATAAGGTTTCCTTCATATTTCCAGAGTTATTTGATGGCAGCATTTATTCTTTTATACAGTTACATTCTTTCCTCTTGCAGTGCTCTTCTATTATTGTTGAGTGTATATCTGTTGACTATTCTTCCAACTTCCTCGTACTCTATAGGGCCAGTTGTTGCGGGAGTGGTGGGCCTCACCATGCCCAGATACTGCTTATTTGGAGACACTGTAAATACAGCTTCTCGGATGGAATCAACAGGGTTACGTGAGTACCTGCAGATGGATGAAATTGTACCATATAACTCTCCGAAAAGTTATTTTTCTTTAAGAGATGGGAAAGAAATCTAGATAGTTTATGTTTTTTAATGTTTTAAAGCAAAATAAAAGACATTTGAGAAGATTAAGATTTATCACACATTTTCCTGGCCTCTAATTGCAAACCAGTAGGGGGTGATGTTGGACTGGACATGTACCCTTTTTGTCAGATTTAAAGCTGTAGCTAAGTGACACTGAAACAGCTAGTCAATTTGAGCAAAACTACTCTTAAAAGTCATTTGTGTAAAGGAAAGAATGGACCAGCCTAGTAGCTGTGGGAGAGTCATGTTGAGAAAAGAACTAGGTAATAGACTGACACTTTTCATTTTTCAACTTGTTTGTGAAGACATACACCAGCTGCCTCGCAGTTGGGGGTTGTTTCTTGCTCTAGTTAGATTTTTGAACTAGATAGGACCTCCAGAAGTTCTGGCTTCGTCAACTAACACTAGAATTTATCTAGCAATAATCCTTCAGTCTAAGACTTTTGGAATTCTAAATATTAATTCCAACTTGCCTTATATAAAACCCATAGCTTCTGTCAAAATGAACATAATATCAAAGATACCATTTTTTCTCTCTTTTTCTGAGACTAAATCCATACAAAGATCTATTATATTTATCTGTTGCTGGCAAGATGCTCTCTCAAGTATTTCTTGATCATTTATTGTCACTATTGAGATAATGTCTTACAATGTAGCTTCTACCTAAAAGTCATTGAGCAAAGCAACTTTTTGTCCTATTATAGGAAAATCTATTAAACAACATTAAATTCTATATACCGTTTTATGAATTTTGTTTTGAAAAGAAAGAAGCCACTAAAGTCCCTAACAGCTCTAGCTCTGCCAGCTACTAGATAAGACAAGCTCTTCTCCAGTTTCACCAATATATTGAAGCTAGTTAGTATTGGTAGGGTGGCCTGTATCACAGTGTGTGGTTCCCTGTGTGACTCCACTGTCCATCACTAAAATGCAGAAATGGATTTACACAATGGATTTAGTCTCAGTTAATCTCTCTCATGTAGCCATGATTAAGGAGGCAGCATGGAACGTAGAAGCTATTATCAGAAGAAATTTTCTGACATTTTTCAACATCTTCAAACTCCATAGATAAAATAGAGACCATGAAAATAGTCATCTAGAAATGGCTGCACAAATATGACTGTGTATGCCTTCTCTTGAAGTGCAGTGGAAGATGAAGTAAAATTGATCATGGAATCACAATGTCAGTTGGGCACAGTACCCTGGACTGATGTAAGCTTCTAGAAAGCTAAAGTCATCCTCTGATCTGGAACAGGGAAAACCACATATTTAGCATTGAAAATACAGAACTGAGAACAGAAATTGAATTTTGAGATTTAAACAATGCTTTTTCCAGTGATCAGATAGAAGGAAGGAAATGGGAAATGGAAATCATGTGCAACATGGATTCATTAAGCAATGGATATGTAAGAGTCATTATCAAGTATGAAAAGAGGCATATCTGTGTCATTCTTACACTATAAGAGATGGTTAGCATGTTTCTCTAAAAGCTAATAACGATGAACCAAATATAGCATTATTAAGCTCCACAACTGAATGATTTCTAAAGAGGTAGACTCTAATCTCACACTGGATATGGGTCTAAGACATGTAATATGCTTTTCAACAAAAAATCAATTTAATCAGTAGCTTCTTAGTGTTCAGTTGACTCCACTAAGCATTGTGAATGGAAGTAACTACTGACCTAGCCCTGCAGTGATTATCCTCCTCACATAATTGGCTAGTGGCTAGAATCAGCAACCTTTCTTTCTACACCAGCAGTATCACCCTACTGAAAAGCTATCTGAACATACTAGAGTCTTGGCACACATCGGATTGGCAAGGGATATAATGGCTGCCCTTGTGGCTTTTAGAAATATGAAAATCTTTTTTAGCTTTGGATGAATATAAGCCAATAATCAATACTCAAACCAGGTTACAGGACAGAGATATTCAGAGAAGTATATACATGGTAAAATTGTGAATATACATGGTAAAAGTTTCCTTCAGGCTGGTGTGTTGTTGTATACCCATAATCCCTGCACACTGGGAGGCTGGAGCAGGAGAATTGTAAGTTCCAACCCAGAGTGGACAATTAAGTCATTTAGTTAGAATCTGTCTAAAAAAAGGGCTGTATTTGTAGCTCACAGCTGAGATCCTGGGTTCAATCTCAAATATTACAGAAGAAACAAAATAAGTTTTTCAGTTTTCAGCCATGCCTTCCTACTGAGATTATAATACATAAACATAAAGAATGTTTTTCTTTCAAGTGTGTGTGAGACAAATCTTAGACTTTTATATAAGACTTAACCTCTTAACCTGAACAAGGTGTCACTTCACAGAGTGACAGCTTCCAGAGAGATTAATGATCTTGCCTCAGGTAACAAGTGATTATTCTTCATTAAAGAAATGAACATAGGTTTGAAACAAATTTATAAAGCTGTAGTTCCCCATGTAAGTCACTATACTATGTTACTTGGAAAAAATATACATTCATGTATGCACCCAACTAGAGGAATCCATCCAAAGGACAGCTATAAATGGTGAGTCTTCACAAAATGTCTGTGAAGTCAGAGGTATTGTGATTTTTCACATTAATGTTTTATTTTAAATGTAGCACTATTGTGAAATAGTTTTAAGGATGTATATGGAAAAGACAGCCCTTTGTCACTTAAATAGGAGCATATAAAGCTTGGAAACTCAGATGCTGAAGCCAAACATCTGATGGAGGAAGTCACATTTTAGCTGAGAACGCAGTGGTGGTTGCCGACTTCTCCATCTTGACCTTCAAGTTATATTAACACTTTTCTACTGCATGACCTTTTGTCTGAGATAGTGTCTAGGAGGCTGATAGATATTACAACTAATGCCCTATTTGAGCCTGGTGAGAAGGCCATCACTCTTGCTTCCCTTCTTCTGAAACCCTAACTACACTCAGGATTTAGCTTAGGTCTAGTACACTTTGAATTGGGGGGGTACTTATTACATTGATAATCCTGTCATGATTTTACCAATGATAAAAAGTTAAAATTATATTTTTTTTCTTTCACAGCTTACCGAATTCATGTTAGTCTTAGCACTGTTACAATTCTTAGAACTCTGAATGAGGGCTATGAAGTAGAGCTTCGAGGAAGAACAGAGCTCAAGGTATAATATCCTTTTGTTTTTGGAGCCAACCCACTGGGACACATCTCTTAGAGAAGTCATGGTCTGTGGAAAGAACTTACCTGGGAGTCTGAGAGTCAGAGCTCTAATTTACACAGAATCTTCAGCTTCATTTGGGCTTCCTAAAAGATTGGCCTTTTCTCTCACACTTTTTTCTCTATAAAGTATGGCTTAAATGGGGAGGATCATTGAGATACCTTACACTTTTTTTTGCCTATGAGTTGTAGTTTTCTTTCCTAAAGAACTGCCTGGAATTTGGCTTTTCATTGAGCTGAGGTACTATTTTTGTTTTCTAACTCTGGTTTTCTTGCTGTTTGGCAGTGCCGGACATTGTTCAATCAACTGCAGTATTGGTAAATTTGAGTCTCTCTTTGCCTGCTCAGTAGTCACTATTTCTAACTTATCATTTACATCATTGTTCTGCTCTTCACAGAGAAGCTTTATGTCTTCTTCCAAGGATAAGAAGGAAGAAAGTCAGATTCCACAAAAAATAAACTTTTCCTTTCTGAGACAGGTTTTCACTAGGTAGTGTAGGCTAGCCCAGGATGGTCTTGAACTCACAGAGATCCTTTTGCCTCAGCCTCTAGAGTTCTGGGATTACAGGTGTGTACTGCCACACCTAGCACCCTTCCCCCCCTCAACTAAACATTTATATCCTTTTCTTGCTGTTGGGGAAATTACTTGCCTTGGCATTCAGGATCAGAATAATGTTCATTTTTTGGCGACTTGCACTGGAATCCCCTCCTGTCATTCAACATGATTTCAGGTCCACTGGCTGATGAAACCACAAGGAACTGAACATACAAGTTCTACTCAGAAACCCTGAGAATTTGATAATATAACTTATTCACTTTCATATGAAGAATCAAGACCCAGAGAAGTGAAGCAATTTGAACAGAGTTGCACAGTCAGTTGATAGTAGAATCAAACAAAATTCAGAAAGCCTAACTTGCTTCCATGGTACCATACTACATGACAATGGTTTTCTTAGTGATTATTCTTGGACAATTGAAAATAGGGCCTTCGATGATATGCATATGGTTTCTGTCATTGGCCTGCCTTTCCTGAATGTTGGCAATTCAAATGTAACACAATTTCTTTGTTAAATGTTACAAGGTCTGGTGCTGGTTAATTACTTCCTTTTTTGACTAGTATTAATTTGTTTCTTTCAACAGTTCTTCAGTGTCTTCCAGAAGGTAGATGGACTCACTTATAAGTGAGATGATGGAGTAGAGGCAATAAATCAAATTATCTAAAGCTTTTGTGATCCCTCCATACATTCTGATTTTTCTTAGCAAAGGAGGGGAAAGAAAGATTGATTTCCCTGAGCACTTTCATTTAAAAGCTGAAGAGGTGCTGCTTCTCAAACAGGAGAAAAGATATAAATTATCATTAGTAGCACATGCATCTTTGGGAATTTCAAGTACAAAATTAGAACTTACTTTAATAGGGCCTTTTGCATCTTCATATTTTTCTCCACTTGAGGAAATTTGAGGATAGTCAACAAGTTGGAGGGATCATTCAACAAGCCTTTTCATAATGTGATTTTTGGGTCTTGGCTATTACAGTGACAAAGGGCTTATTAGTCAAGAGAGACTGAGAGGGATATACTGAGAGAGAAGAGGACAAGAGGTCACTAGAGGAAGGGACAATGAGAAAAAAGAAGACTCAACAAAAAGAATTTTTTTTTGTTTCTTTACCTTACACTTTCCCACTAGAGGGAGGAATCACATATTCCTTGGTAGGAGTTGGGGGACAAAAATGTTAATCTACTGGGAATATGAGGTATATCTGCAGTAATTCCATGTCACTAGCACACTTCATATATTCTGATTTAATATTTCCACTTTGCATCCATTCTGTATAATGAAAGCAAGAGTTATCCCAATATGTGGGATAAAAAAAAAAACCCATTTGATGGCTAGTCTGGTGTGATTTCAGAGCTGATAGCTGGAAAAATTTTTTTTCCTTTAGCTAGTTATAACTTGTAATTATCCCTTTGAAACATTTTTTTCTTGGGATTAATCTTTGGATCCAGCAGAAATCCCCTTTCCCCACCTGATCTTCTTTACTGGAGTGATACCTCTCTTTATAACTTACTTTTTTTTAGCAGAGTCAAATATGTAGATTGATTTGGGGGAGAAGAGAACATAGGGTAGGCACAGTAACAGGTTGAGTAGAAAACATAAAGAGACCAAAATAAGGTAGCTGAAGATGTAATCTGGGGAAGTAATAAGTTAGAGATGGGAAGGTTGGATCTGCTGGGGAGTTGCCCTATTTCCCATGTCAATCCCCTTTGGTATGATATTGGCAATAAATTGCTAATAGCTAGCTGACCAATTCTGCTTTATAGATATCTCTTTCTGATGGACTAGTGATATGTCATTTTATTACCCCTTCTCTTACCTGAGTAATTTTTTGGCACTCTTTTCCTGACAAGTTTGGAGCTAATGGCTGAGAATTTTTTATATATGTCTAGGTTAATCACTTATGTTTTCTAAGGAGTTTTAGGTAGTTTTCCATTCTGGAAATACTTTACAAAATGTTTATTCTCAATCAGTTTATGCTGTTACTGATAGAAGTGAATATTTTGTGACTTTGTATCTGAAACCAGAAGCTAAACAGTATTTGGCTCTCAGGTCTATAAGCATTAGTACAGTTTTGTGATTTTTCCCCTCAATCATACACACACACACACACACACACACACACACATCATCATCATCATCATCATCATCATCATCATCATCAGTTCAGCTAAGAAATAGTATTAACAGAATAATGAAAAATTGGTCACTAATTCTTTGGTTATCAGTAGCTCAGCATGTGACATTGTACAAACAGCTTCAGCATCTCTGAGCTTCTCTTTGTGTACCTGGAGTCCTCTTTGGACTTGTGATAATCAAGAAGCTCATTAAAATACCTAACATGTAATGGTGTTTAGACAGTATAACCTGTCTGCTTCTTGTACTATGGATAACCACTAAGAAGATAACAATGTATAATGTATTAATTATTGAAAATGTCCTATTAATCAGCTTTGAATCTGTCTCATTAAAATACCTAACAGTTCTTCTTAGCCTCTTGAACTGACCTTGACTTCAGTGTGTTGGAGAAGCTACATGGTGTAGTGGGAAGAATATTTAAAATTTGGAGTCTAGTATACTGAGGGGTTCAGGTTCCAAGAAGTTCACCTTGTACAAGTCAATTAATCTCCATGCACCTCAGTGTTTCAATTTGAAAAATTAGATTAGTAAAAAAATTGCACAATTTTGTGAGTGTTGAATAAGACTAGAGGTACCCAAATCATAAAAGGATTATGCATATCATGTGTGGTGACTCACCCCTGTCATCCCAGCACTCTGGGAGGCTGAGGCAGGAGAGTCACAAATCTGAGTGCGGGCAACTTAGTAACTTAGACTCTATCTCAAGATATGGGACAAAAAGCCTGGGTATGTATGTAGCTCAATGTAAAGACTCATGGCTTAATTTTCTGCACTACCAAGAAATAATTAAAACAAAAGCAAGATAATATTATTTGGGGGTTCCCTGTGGCTGTCCAGAAATTGATATTGGGTCAAGAAGTTTACTTTAGGCACTCCTGTGATCATACTCATTTCTTCTTGTCTTCAGTAGAATTATGGAAGTGGGAGGGATTAAACAAAGAGCTAAAATTCTCCTGGATAATCTCTACAGTTGCCTCAGGCCTCTGGAGCTTCATTGAATGCTTTATCATTTGAAAGCTTGTCTGAACCTCTAATGCTCCCATCTTCTTTCACAGTCATTTGTTTTGGAATTTTTTATGTCACAGTACCTACACAAATGTCTGGATAATCCTGACATCTGCAAAGCTGTCTTGGTAACTGGCACACTGTTCTAGAGCCTTCTGAATCTCAAGACAGTGAAATATGTCCAGTGGTGGGTCCCTTGCTTTTGAGGTTGAACAGTATGTTTTAACAAAATGAAGTCCATTAAGCCCTAAGTATTACATGTGCTCAAGGTCTGAGAATTTTGGTTCATGAAATTATCTATTGGTTACTGTGAAAACTCTCTATACAAGGCAGTTTAGTAGGTAGTGTGAGGGAAAGAAATAGCTTTGGTGGGAGAGTTGGCTTAATGTGGTTAGAACTGAAGAAGTGGCCTAATTGTTTCGTTTAATCTTTCTGCAAGCCATCTCTATATTCCCAACCCTAGTACAGGAAGGGATAAATAAAGGCAAGAGTTAGTGATTGAGTGTATGGTCAAGTTTCTCAAGTTTTCTGAAAATGGAATAGCTCAAAATAGTCCAATTATCTGAGATTCATGGTAAATTGCTGGCCTGCAAATGAAAATGGAGCTACAGTGGTATGCTCTTCCTATGTGTCTCATAGGGAACTTGTTCAGAGTCTTGAATCAAATATTTGAAAAGTGCTTTGAGATTCTCCAATTAAATATATCATAATTAGTAGTACAATTGTTACTATTATCATTATTGAATGAATATATGTGATATAAAATAGAAAAGAGTGAATTCAATATTTAAAGGGAGCAAACAATTGAATTTTCTAAGTCAAACAATTTACAATGGCTGCAAATGAGAGATGCTAAGAGTGACACCATGTTTCAGATTAATGAGTAGGAAGTATCAAATTACTTTTCTCAGTCAGTAAATAAATTTTTTCTTATGCTTTAGAGGAAATAGAATGACAAAAGGGAAATGAAATGAGGAGAGAGAAGCATATTAAGAAGTTTTACTAGAAAGAAGAGAGGACAGACAGAGTAAAATAAAATCAGTCCTTCTAAGATTACCACTAATGCCACGGATGACTAGCTTGAGTTTATACTTCTTTCTCTTCTCAGATCTATGATTCTTGACAACCAACTAGTATGTAGGTGGAGTTCTGCTTCGAGGACTTGTGTTACTTGTAATAGTACATCAAGAAGAAGGAAAGAATACTACATGAATGCAGTTTTCTCCAAACAAACAATATATTCTAGACTTCAAAGCAAAGTTACAAAGCCTGTTTTCCATTTTTGTTCCTTTTTTTGGGTTTGGTGAAAAGTTTTAGATGACAATGTGTGGAGAGAGGTAGACTTTCAATATATGTAGTCTATCTGGACAATGACTTGCCTAATGCCAAAAGGCCAGGACAAAAATGACAAGTGTTTAGTTGAACATCCAGATGTTTGATTGCTATGAAGCCAAACATCCATACATTTTTCAAGATAAAACTGTGTGGTAGTGGGTAAACAAAACATCTGGATGCCAGTTTAATAAAGTATTTCTTTTTATCTGGCTTCTCCATAGAGCTTTCCTAAGCTTCAGGTCCATATAGTGAAGATTTATAGAAAACAAGATTCTAGGGGATGGTGACAAAGGGAAAGTTCTAAGCAACTTGTAAGCCAAACTGGATGCTTATATGCTAGCCAGAGCCACCTCACTAGAAAAAGTGGGTATGATGTGCTTCAAGTTTTCTATATTTTCTGTTATAGGGCAAAGGCATGGAGGAGACCTTCTGGCTGGTTGGAAAAAAAGGCTTTATGAAGCCGCTTCCTGTGCCCCCACCAGTGGGAAAAGATGGGTAATTGTAATTCACAATTAATCAGTGTCTTCCTATGTCTTTCTATGCCACACTTTCTTTACTAGCTGTATTGTTGTCTCCCTACCCTACAGACAACTGGGCCATGGCCTGCAACCAGCAGAGATCGCAGCATTTCAAAGAAGAAAAGCAGAAAGGCAGTTGGTGAGAATCAAGCCATAAGGTAATGGCTTGAAGGAAAACAGCACAGCAACTTGCCAAATTTTCAAATCTGGGCCTCCTTTTGGCATGTGTTCCAGTATTAGCCTTCATTCCTTTGGCAGAATGTGATGGAGCTGGTGAACTTCCAAGCTCCGCTGAGTTGGACAAAATCCTTGTGGGGAGGCCTGTTGCAGCAAGCATAATACTTAAGGAAACTTGGCTGCCCTGACCGGAGCGAGACCCTTGCCTTCTGTACTGACGCATTTGTATACTAACAAAGCTGGACTTGTTATTCAGTTATCAGGTAGATGCACCTGTCTATTTCATTGCTGAGCACCTGGGTCACATGGTAATGCACTTCAGGTCCTTAGACATTTACATATATATATATATATATATATATATATATATATATATAGAGAGAGAGAGAGAGAGAGAGAGGCAGCATAGCAATATTGCTACTACATCCTTTACTTCATTTTCCTCCTTTTCCTGCGATCTACTGGCAAGATCATCTGGATGGAGATGCTTATGTCATTTCTTCTGGAGGCAATTCCTTTGTTTTGTTTTGTTTGCACTACTGGGGATTGAACTCAGGACCTTGTGCTTTCCAGGCAAGTGCTTATTCTGCTGAGCTATCTCCCCAGCCCTGGAGGCAATTTCTGATTCTTTCCAAGACTGAGATTACCAACTGGCTATTATTTGACTGCCAGGCTTCAGTACATGATTTTCCTTATTCCTCCTCCCTTACTAGGACAGATGATTCTGAAGCAGTAATACCAAACTAATTATCAAATAATCTCACCAACTATTTGTCTCTGAGGTATCTATTGCTTTCTTCAATCCATTTAGAATATCTTTTTTTCTTTACCTTGATTTCTTACTCTCTGCATCTACTTGGAAACTCTGACCCTAAAGAACTTTGCTTCCTCAAAATAGCCTTAGAAATTACAAGATTTTAAAATAAGCATTAAGGCTTCTCCACACATTGCTGCTACTCTGTTCTCTAACATTCTTCAGAATAATCACAAATCTAGCAGCAACTACAAAAGGCATCTACATATTTCCTATTATTCGTCTAGCCTTTGTGAACTTTGTCAGCATTCTGTGTTTATTATTCTCTTAAGAAAACTCCACTGCAGGGGCTGGCGAGACAGCTCAGTGGTCTAAGTACCTGCCTGGCAAGCGCAAGCACCTAGGTTTGATCCTTGGTGTAACATGCCATGCTTCCCCATTCAATCTGGCCTCCAAAAGCGGGCATGGTGGCACACACCTGTAATCCCAGCTCTGGGAAGGCTGAGACAGGAGAATCACTATGAGTCTGAGCTGCATAGTGAGACCCTGTACTAATTAATTAATTAATTAATTAAAAAAATAAAAAAGAGAAGCTCCACCATATCTTTACTTTCTGCAACAATCACAGGTACCCTGTGCTAGTCATAAATATTTATACTTCAGAAAGGCTTCTGTATTTAGCATAAAGCTTGTCTGCAATCTTATACATCATTTTCTTCCTTCTCGCCAGGTCTGGCATCTGGCTTTGTTCTTTCTTGTTCACCAAAACAAGCAGAGAAGCAGCTGAGTCATATAGTGATCCCGTTCCTAGAAACTTTCTTTTCTATAGGTTAGGAAATACAGGAACACCTTAAATCACAGAGTCACAGATAGAGTCTCTCTGTCTCTGTCTCTGTCTCTGTCTCTGTCTCTGTCTCTGTCTGTCTGTCTCTGTCTCTGTCTCTGTCTCTGTCTCTGTCTCTGTCTCTGTCTCTGTCTCTGTCTCTCCCTCCATGAAAGTGTTTAGAAACTCGATAGATTTCTCTTTGGCAAGGTGATGTAGACATTGGAGGTACTGTATAAGAACTTATCCAATCCTAAAAAATTATTGGAGTTTAGAGTAGATGATATTGCAGCTGATTCACTAACACTGGCTGTGTGTTTGCTAGTGCTTTCCTAGTATGTAGATGAATGTAACCTAGGCAATTTACAAACTTATCAGATTCTATGGAAAATGCTGTAAGGGAACACTGAAACCACTGTCGCAAGAGGAAACTCAATCTCTGATCTGGTCTTATTAGTGCTTGTGCTTTAAATTAGCATGTAAAGTGATCACAATGGCTTTGTTAGCCTGTGTAAAGCACAAAATCCTCAAGAAGGACAATAAGTATGCCCTTGGCAAATTTAAGAAAGCTGAACGTAACTCTTAGAGCTTTCAGACACTTTACTTAGCTCCATTTAAGTGTGCTCTAGTCATGTCACCTAGCACCACCAGCTATTCAAGATTTCTAACTTTCTGTGAATTTACAAGGTTATTTTTACTAAGATGAGTCCAATTTACAAAAGGCCCACAATACTTATGAAGGCCTCTGAGGTATTGCTGCTAATTTCAGTGGTACTGGGATAAAACAGAAACTTTTATTGAGTCCTATCATGTTAGACAAGGAGGAAGAAAACATGTTTTAAAAGGGGTATAGCTTTGGTAAACTGATAACAGGGGCTGCCATTCCAGGCAGATCCTGTCTTTGGCCTGGTAGCTCTTATCTCATGTCTCCAAACATGTATCACTTCTTAAATATGTGTTTCACTTCATCTGCTTACTTTTACTAAATTTCACCAATTGGGATTAATTTGGGGCTCATAAGTCACCTCTTTTAATCAGAGGTATTTGTTTTGGTGCCTAATAAAAATGAATGTCCAATCCCTCATATCACAGTGAAGATGAACTAAACTAGGTGGTCAGGAGAACTTGCTAGTTTCATTTTGACTGAGACAAGAAGAAATGAGAAAGTTGGTACTTTTGTAAAATGGAGAGGCACAGTGGCAGATTTGAGAGAACATATGAGCAATGGATCCCTAGGAGATCAGAGAATGGCAAAAATAGATACTATGAGGTAAAAGTCAAGTTAGATTCTGCCTCTTTTAAACATGTTCTTTGTCTCTTGAACTGACAAAGTAAGTAGAAAGCACACTTGTCCTTCTGCTCTCAGGTCCAAAGATCATCACCAGAGCTCGAATGTAATTCTGCTCCATGGAAGTTAAATAAGCCTTTGTAGAATAGCTAGAAATGTTACTTCTACATCTAAAGTACAATTTCTTTGGAAGCATTCCAACTTTCAGATCATTGACATATATATGCTTAGAACACATCTCATTAATAAGTTAAGGGACTACCACATACTTTTTGTTCTACTATTAAAGACTCTTGTAAATAGCAATACCTAATTATGCAAATATGGCAAATATAATAAAGTTTGTTTGTTCAATAATCCAACAAAGTTTACCAATTTGGAAGTTGTTCATAGAGTTGTTCATGGAGTGGGGCCTTAGAGTCATTCATATTGAAATTATATGGAAGACCTAGGACAGAGAAGGTAAGCTTAGTATTTTCTCTTTCTCCCACCCAGGAGTGAATGGCTCCAGTATTTGGATCTTTTCCTTGTGAGACAGTAGAGAGACTCACTCCAGGTCAACACATTGATCTTGGGCAAAAAACTAGTGAATAGTCTCTGAGGATGATCATTCTCCAGGGATGTACAAGGCAAATTCCAGCATAATGGGGATTTTTTAAGTAACTGCTCATAAAAATGGCTCTTTACCCAGCTTTCATGAAAAAGGAAATTTGATTATAAAAGACAATGGATATGAACACTAAAGAATTATAATGATCCACCTCCAAGTGTAGTCATTCCAAGATAGCAGGGTTACCTTGGGGTCTCTGTTTTCACAGAAAAAAGAGGCACTTAGTTTTGTTTTACATTTCACTGGAGTACTTAAAGAAAATATTTTGTGAGTATAATTTATAGCTTTGATACCAGATTAGTGCCAGGACAAAAATCTTCCAGCAAACACACATTTGAATCACAGTTCACTATGACCTCAGTTGTCTTGAAGGCTTGGGGAATGGGAGGAGGAAAAAATATGGCTAATTATGTCATATGGGTAACTTAGGACTCAAAAGAATTTTCATTGTATTCATATTGCCTATTGCTCAAAATCTTTCCAAAGCAATCATAGTCTCTTTCTCCATCTAATTAAGTGAATGAAGGCAAAATAATTGAATTTTCCTTGCTAGGTGAGCTCCTCACTGGGCTTTCAGGTTGATATTCTGAATTTGATGGAATAAATGTAAGAGAAAATATTATGGTAAAGGATATAGAAGTCATAGATCCAACTGAGATATTTTCTTAATAGTTTGTGTTTTCCTTCCCTTCTTTTATCCACTCTGCTTTTTGACCCACTTGCCCCTGCCCCTAAAACAAATCCCTTTCAGCATCTGTTTTCGCTTTACAGATTTCATTTTCAAGGGGTTATTGGCAGTAACTTGATATAGTCACATGAACCAAAACACTAATTCTTAGCTCATAGGCATTTTTAAAATTGTTATTAAACAAGCTTTTCTTTCATTTATTATGAAAATAATCTCTTTATTAAAACAGCTGAGCACAAATATACAGCCACTAAAGCAGTTAATTCTTTCAGAATAAATATTCTAAAGAAAAAGTTGCCTAAATAATAATTTGTTACCTTTCTCCTTACAATTTAATTTTTTCCACTTTTTACTGGGTCTGAATCAGAGCTTTGAAACAAAACTCTCTCAGCAGTTTTCTCAACCTTTGAAGTACCATGGTATTGTTAACAACTTCTTCTCAGATTCAACTGGTATAATTATTATGATAAAACTGTTCAAGATGATCCAGAAAAGCTGCCAATGCTGCTGAATTCTCTTGTTCTAAGCATATGTTTTCTTTTTAATATGCAATTGAGATATTGAGAAATAAAATATTATCTTTGAAGCATGGATGGTGGTACACACCTATAATCCCAGCTATTCAGGAGGCTGAGGTAGAAGGATTCTGAGTTCAAAACTAGCATACCAGCAGGTAAACTTAAGGAAATCTTGTCAGAAAGAAAGAAAAGAAAAGAAAAGAAAGAAAGAAAGAAAGAAAGGAAGAAAGAAAGAAAGGAAGGAAATAATAGTCTATTTATATTACAGACCTACTAAAAGTTGAGATTTTTTTAATGTAAG